GACTCATGGCGTAGCGCGCTGCAAATATTTCACCCTGTCGCCTGCCCAAGGGTGTGTGAGCCACAAGTGCTCTGGGAGTCGAGTTGCAATATCCTACGTGTGTCTCACATATCAAAGTCGCCTGCAACCTGAGAAGGCAATAACTGAGTTCAAACTCTTTGCCTTTGTCCACTCTCATTCCTCACTCATGAACCCCTTATGAAGCCCTGCATCACCCCCCCCCCCCCCATGCAATGAGTAACAAAGGAAAAGGAGGTGTAACGTTGATGACATCAGCAGAGCGAGGGTGATCTCCAAGGCCTTGTTTGAGCGCAGAGATCGTTCCTCTCACACAGAGCTGCTGAGAGGCCTCCGGCTATGAACACACGAAGAATATCAAATTAGGACAAGCATATAAACGGATGAAAAAAAAGCCACTGACAGAGAGAAATATTGATTTCTCAAAAGCAGACATTTACTGAACGTGGGGTGTCTTTGTGTTTTTTTTTTTTGAAGGCCACCTTGTCATGCTGCACGCTGTTTCTCCTCTTTCAACTTCCCCAAGGAGAACATTTGTACAGAATCTTTTTTTTTTAAAAAGGCACAAAAGAAAGAATGTGAACGTCCAAAATGAGGATTTTATAAGCCTTTCTTGTTTGAGCTTTTGCATCAGTGAGATTAGAAACACCCGATCTGTTTTAGGTGTTAACGTTTGGCTAATAGAAATAAGGGGAAAGTCTCGGTAGATAAAAGAAAGCCTTCACTTCCAATGTCAGACTAATCATTGCAATTAGTCTGCAATTCTCCGCCTCATTAACTCTTAAGTGCTCATATTTCAGTGCTTAATCTACATTCTCTTTTTATTCCAGCCATCCCTAAGGTGGCTATTGACCCTCCGAGGCCAGGCAAACTGCCTCCAAATCATCACAACCGCCTCCCAGACACAGATCATAGGAGGACCACCACCACCGTCCGCCCACCAGTGACTCAAAGGAGAGTCTTCCCCGTAATCCCCAAAACAACAACAGCCGCCCCCACAACTACGACAACCACGACAACAACCAAAGCACCTCCAAAGAGGGTTACCCCACCTCCACGTAAGCCAGCCGTTCCCACCCGGAAGCCCTTCATCCCGACCAGGAAGCCCTTCATCCCGACCAGGAAGCCCTTTATCCCGACCAGAAAGCCCTTTATCCCGACCAGGAAGCCACCAGCACCAACACGCAAGCCCTATATCCCACCCATAAGACCAGTTCCTCCCACCAGAAGCCCCCCAACACCCCCACCAGTCACTCCTGTGGACAACACCATACAGAAGGAGGTCACCAAACAGAGAGGGGACGTCCACAGTAAGAACTAGTTTTATATTTCATTGTTTCCGTTATGAATAGATGACATTTATTACAACTTGCACTTGCATTCGAAATCTAACGGTTGTTTCATAATAATTGAAGGGTTTGAGTTATAGGTGGAAATCAGATCTTGTTTTAACTTATCACACTTGAAATCATGAAAATAATGGCCTCTTTAAGAAACGTATTATTGCAACAAAACATTTAAACCTACATGAATGTATTTTTGTTGGCCATTAGGGGGCAGTAAAGGAGTGAATAAACACAACATTGACATATTGTACCTCCTAAAGTTTTCCAATTAAGTAGCTGCCAATTAGTTGCCTTTTTACACATACATTAGAACATTATTCTTATTTATTGGATTCCTATATCAGGCCACCTGACAAAAATAAGTGTCACATTTACCCTGCTTTTAGCTTGGTCTCTACCAACTCCTGGGAGAGATATCTGGCTCTTTGGAAATGCTCCACACTGCTTGAACTAACTATTACTGACTGCTGTTTTGTACTAAGCAGGTAATGTACAATGGGTATTTAGAGTTTAACTAATAACAGCTGCTGTTTCTTGAAATTACTAGTAAGAGTATGTAGATTTGATTTATAATGTAAAGAGTTGGGCTGTAGAAGCAAAACAACAAGCTGAGAGATGATAAAACCCTCTGAGTCGACTGATTCATTCTCGTTGGTCAATACGAGCCTCACCTTTCACCTAACCCAGTACAAATAATGGAGCTGCAGTAGCTCAGCTGGTGGAGAGCACACTGTGTACTGAGGCCAGTCTGACCCATGGTCATTTGCTGCATGTCATCCTCTATTTCCCTCCTTGCTGTCTATCTTCAGCTGTGATACAGGCACATAATAAGGTTTAACAGCTTAGAAAGCTTAACACCTCGTTGCATTAGCAAGTTTCATCCCTGCTTGTTTACATTTCAGTCACAGGCTGACACACAAAGGCAGTTGTTGTCCAACAATTCATCTCCATCTGCTCCCAGACAGGTTTCCTCTAACCAAATTGGAGCATATCAGCATATTTCTTCATCTGCATGCTGAAACAATGTGCTTATTATGACACATGTCACCATCTGGGGATCATTACACATGGAGCACACATGTTGCTGAGCAGCTAAATATCAGGAACCATGTGCACACAGTTTATCTCCAGCCAGGCAGATGGTGAACTGGAGAACATGTTGGTCTATTGATATCATATTTAATATAAGGGCATGAGAGCTCTCTTCTACATACCATCTTTACACGATCTCAATCAAGCTATAAACAAAGAATATTGTTTTTTTTCATTTTAAAATGCTCAAGTAGTAACCTTTTAAAGTGTTTCGTCTTTCTTTTGATCTATTAGACTATTTGTCTACACAGGTTTAAACATTTGTATTACAGTATTTACATTTTAAAAAGACCAAAAGTTCAGAAGAACCCCAAATGCATATTCATTCATGGCATTAAATAGTTACCAATTGGATGCACCACTAACCATTTGAGTGAAATATTAAACTGCCCATCTTTTATGGGAAACAAATGGACTTTTTAAAGATTTAAATATTCACTTCTTCAGTAGGAATACATTCATTTGAAAGCGCTGACTGCCATAGACATCGTTGGCTTTGGGTTTAATTATTTTAATTGTTTACACTGCCCACATTATACTTCTTGTATTCCCCATTTTATTTCACAGCATACAGTTTAACCAGTAACTTTTCGAACATGTGCAATTTCAGTAAATGTACACATTATTATGATATAGAGATAGAGCGATACAGAAAAGGCAACAAGGGGAAATTCAATAGAATAGAACGTTTACTCCAGATGCACTTATAGTCAATTGTGGACAAAAACTTGTATTTGAACATTGATAGAAGTGTTGTTTTTGGTGTCATGCTCAATTATGCACAGCAAATCCAAAATCCTTTGAGACAGAAATATCTGGTGTGATATAACGACAAAGTACAGGATAAGAGTGGAGATTCTATGGTTCACCTTGCCAGATGGCTTCACATAAATTAGAAAGAAGACAGAAGAGAGAAGATTGCATTAGCACCTGTCTGCACTGCTTGAAGGAGACATCAATCTAATAGTTCGCACCACGGCAGAGCAGTTCTAGGAATCCGAGCTTCCTGAAGATGGTTTGAATAAGATGAGAGGAGGGACACCGCTGAGTGATTACTCGCATAATTACACAGAAATAGGAATGAATTTGAATAAGATCCTCAGGACATGAAGAACCACTCAGCTGTGCTGCAAGTGCAGGTGTTTATAAAGAGCGCTGGACTTATACAATCAGCACTAGTTTATCTTCAACTTATTTCTAGTTTGTGAATTACACAAATTACATTTCCTGCAGGAAGATTAAAGTGGACCTATCATGCTATATTTGAATAATACAGTGTAGGACCATACCTATATAAGGCATATTTATACTTTTTATTTTTCAAAATACCAAACAGATCATGCATTTTAGCCATTCCTCATTCGGCTCAATTTAACACTGTCTTTGCATGGGCTGATTCTGTGAGAACAGCACCATCTACAGGCCTGGCATATGTACTACAGCGTCTCCAGCGCTTTCGAACGGCAATGTCCGTGGCTGTCTCCTCCTGATTGGTGGAGTTGACCCAATAGCCGTAGCACCACTTCTGTGACGTCACATAAGTGTTCAAATCTGGATCAGTCTGTATCAGATCCGTTGCAGCCCCTTTTTAAGAGATTTGGGTATGGAGGAAAATAGAGAGGGTTGTGTTTTCTGACACTTGGTGAGGTCCCTGGAACACCGGGGACACATATTCATGTATAAAAGACGTACAAAAGTGCATTTTGCATGATAGGTCACCTTTAAATTAGCCAATAATATTAGCATTTTAGGTTTACTTTATAGTGTAACTGTGTCCATATTTTCAGCGTTTTGTTAACGTAGGGCTTTTAGTAAACGCTGCATGTTTTGTCAAGTTGGTGAAGATGTTTTCCAAATGCCTCGTATGTATTTTATGATATTTTGAAACTAAATCACTTATCTCCTAATGGAAACGTTTGTAACCATTGTAGTGCCACCGTAATAGAGGAGCTCATGAACAAAAGCCAGTGCCATACAATTCAAAAGCTCGAAAGGATACCTTTAAAAATAAATGTTACTTCTCTATTAGACACTGTGTTGCTAGCGGGATAACAAAAAAAAATCATGCTTTGTTTCATAGCATATCAGTCAAATGTATTTTATTTACATACTGGTCTGGATAAATATGAATTTGGTGAATGCACCCATGCATACAGAAAACCTTAAAACTCCAGCCGATGCCCTTCATTTTCACAGCATACGATACGCAACTATGTGCTTTGCAAGTTACAGACAGAGCTTTATACCATAACACATGGACATACACATGTGTGCTTGTTAAACACAGCCTTGCACTACACAGGGTTTCCATCTGTATACATGTTCTTTGAATAAAAGTTGAAATACCAACCATTTTGAAATTCAATTAATGTCCATGTATGAATTAAACCACACAACACATGGGATTGTAGATCTTGAGAGTATGTACACACAACTACATTTACAATAATACAATTTGTGAAAGCCTAAAAAGTTGTTGGTATCGTCTTTATAACAAACTGCACTTAATATAACAAAGCACATACTGTATAATAGAAAGTAAGTGTTGATTTGCAAGTGTCAGAAATCATACACTGATTCTGATCGACACTTTTCAAGTATCTGGAAAAAACGATGACATGGAGTTTTCAGTCAGCTCGATAAAAGATCTGGGTATGGAAGGTGTTAACCCCCTCTTTTACCAAACAGATTTTTGAAATAATATGACAAGGAGAGAAAGCTGCTTTGTTTCATTTCAAACTCAGATTAGACAATAAAAAGCAGCGGTAAATTGATAAAGTTTGGGTTATTTTTTTTGCAAATTTGGAGTCAGCTGGATTTAAAACAAATGCTAACAATTACAATTTCCCTTTGATATATATTTTAAATCTATTTCCCTTAAAGAAACCGATACTACTTTGATATTTATCTGATAAAAACCGTTGCAAAATTCACCCTTGGCCACATGTTTTAACATCAAGCAAAAAAAAAAAAGCAATGGCTTTTAGTTGAAGGATCAAAGTAAGGTAAAAGCAGACTCATAGGCGTGGGAACGATCCCTCTCCGGGAAGACATGGAGTGAACGTGGTCTCTCAGCGGTGTGGCTGGAGGCCGCCAGGGCTGTGTTAGGCGGAGGACATTTCCATGGTAAGTAGGTGCATGCAGGTTTCATAGTAACAAGGTGATGGAGTGAGAGATCGTGGCACCAGTGGACCAATGTACCATTTATGCTAGAAGTAACAACAACCATTGCTATATGTCAGAGACAAACACTTCGTACGTGACAAGACGGTGATGGCCCTGGAAAAATATCTGTCGGTGATGTCATGTGTCTATTCTTCCCCGAGTATTTCATACGTGCTCTCGAGACACCGGACGTCTATGTGTAGCTTTGGGGGGCAATTGTCGTCGGGGTGTGCCTTAACGCTAGGCGCGGTTACGTCATGTCGTATTAGTCGACAAAGTCCTCCGAATCGGAAAGTAAAAGTCTTGCTATAGGGCGCCGGGAATACTTTTGCTTTACGTATTCATTAAAAGTTGTTTTATTTACGTGACCGTGCGAAGTGAGACTCACTGCTTGTGTTAGGACTTTATACGTCAAAAAGTGTTCACAGAAAAATGTGACCGACAGTTATTACTTTATATTCAATACACCAAAATCTGTGCTTGATACGTGATTAATGGGACAATCTATGAACACATTCCCATTGAAGCCGCGTTCATTTTTGTAAAATAAAAATAAAGGCTCAAGCCAACGACCGTGGGTTTATGTTATTCCACTCTTCCCAAAACAGTGAGTTTGTTATGTGTTGTGTTAAGGACGCGCGGCTGGTCCAACAATTTAGGTCGGGACCCTGGGTAGCGCGATCGACCAGTGGGGAGCAAGGGAGAGG